CTTAAACGTTTAACTCGCGATGTTATTGCATGTGTACATACTCACTTGCTAGTCAAAATAAATAAAGCCACCGTTTAAATACCACTTCAAAGCTTTTTCATTACGTTTTTAACGATTATAGTCTGCTATAACTACCTGTATTCTTTCTACGTTACTGTTTATTTATAATTTTCGGCGCGATGACTCACTATTTTTTCACTCTGTGTCGAACCTTCTGATTAAATTGTTTTTTCGAGACGAACACTCTTGGCACGCGGACAAGGCGAAATTTCGGCGATTCACGGACGGTAGGGGACCGCAGCACAGCATAATCCAACAGAGAGGAAACTGCGACCACACAACTAACCGCCACCACTGACTTATGCCACACGACCACCCACCACGTCCCACCGTCTTCACTTATTATTATCAGTACTATTATTATTATTATTCCCAAACAAATGCATAAATTGCTGTTTTAAGTTACACGACATGTTGAAATATTGCTAGAGCACATTAGAAACTGACAAAAAATTACCTCTGGCCAACGGCTTATGTAGCCTTCCCAGCTAGAATAAAACACGAACAGGTATAAAACCTCTCGAATTTGTCTTTCCGTGTTGCACAGAATTATAAACATGCGAGTTCACCAATAAGCGAGGACTTCGTGCTACTTGGATTGACACCAAGCAACCCAGTCAAAAAAAATCTAAGTATGACAAATCGCGTCAACCATCACTCTTTTTGCATCATGCACTGGCATAAACCACCATTATCCACTTTGCGGAACAAAAATAGTCCATTTCTTCTACTTATTACAGTTATTGCGGTTATTATTATTGTTTCAGTACAACTTTTCTGAAAAATTATAAAATTTGATTTTGCAAGTTTTATTTTATTTTTATGATAAACCCATATAAGTTAAAATAAAGATATTTGTGTGTGTAGTCTTAAAGTAAAGGTAACGAAGCATGATCTCTATATGTTTCAAGTGAGTTTTTCCATTTTGTGATGATGATGACGCTATTAACTTTTTAGCAAGGAAACAAATAAATTTGGATAGGCATATTGTAACACTAATTAATAATAAGAGTAATCTATTCCCAAATTTTTGAAAATGGGGTGAATCGTTCTTTATTTGATCAAAGATAAAATGTCTCATGCATTCATTTTTTCCCTTCATAAACAATTCTTAAAAATATGAATGCATGGATAAACCACAAGTATAGATTTATAATGTTTTGGACATTTTAGATTTATTCGGCAAAATTCTGAGGTGACGTCATCACAGTGTAAGTTAGCGTTATATCATCTACAAGATATTACTAATATACATATAAAATTTAAGAGAAATCGGTCTGGTAGTTTCGAAGATTAGCTCCCATCGGCCCCATGGACCCTATTACAATACTTCCTTAGCTTACGCTCCGGAAGTAAAAATGAAAAACTTTAAACAATAGTTCACAGTCTCTATCAAATTTTCTTATATCTAAACGGCATGGGTGCGAGCATTGCATAATCCAACATGCGAGAATAGAGACGATAGATCAGAACTTTCGCCAGTAATATTGGCATTACTGGCACGAGCCGCGGCACCACTTTTTCGCAGAACTCAATTCGGCGTCTGTATCGACACTTATTATAGTTATTATTACTATTATTTTTTAATGGTGTCGCTCCAGACGGCGCGGGTTTCCCGTACGTTTCTCGACTCCCCGTGCCATTTAAATATAGGAGAGAGATGCCAAAACCTGGCCACAGAGATAAATAAAACTAGGGGAATGTCTCTGACACTATAGGTATTTACCGCGGTATTTGTTTATTTTCGTTTCCGATAAATGATCGCTGCTCGCTATTCGCATTCAATTAATTCGACGAAGTTGGACGAATTTCCTCAGTTCGGTTTTGTCCATCGCGCTTATTTTTGGCATTCTAATTAGCTGTTCTGACCTTGCGGATTCCCCGCATTACTTTCTTCGGGTCGGAACGTAACGTTTCACTTTCTTCGAACGGCGAGTTTTTTCGTGTCGTGGAGGAAACGCCAACGTCCCGATCGATTTATTAATAGAATTTAATGTGTCTCATTTTGGTACTTTTATTAATATTTATCGGGTGCTGGCAGCACCGATGACTCGGGGGAATTTCGTATTGGTGCAGAGATTCCGGACTAATGGATCGTGTGACTGAAAGTTTGCTTTGGATCAAAATGGGTCATTAATTACCGAAAAAATAGAATCAAGGAGGATTAGTCACTGTCGGGTTTTTGAATTTCAAAAAAAGATTCCTTGACAATGGGTTTTCGATTTTATTTTTGGATGGAGCTGTCTTCGGAGGAGGCGGGGGGTCGCGTGGTGACATGAAGTCTAAAACGGTAGATGCGGATCTACCAGGGACAGAGGAGGTTGAGTTTCGGAGAGAAAAATGTCAGAAAAAGGTTTTGAAGAATAATCATGGATTTTGGCCACTGTTGGAAATCAAATTCTATCGAAAAAAAAATTTTTTTTGTTACAATAGCAGTCACTAAGTAGCTACCTGTTTTTTTTATTTTTAGAAGTTTATTTAAAATGAAAAAAACAACATCATAAGTAAACCTGGGTCTCGTCTTCTTTTGACATCTAATAATTATATGCAGTTATTTTGTTACGTATAGAATCTTTTTACATCTATAATAAATCAATGACTAATCAATGACTAACTATTGATTACTCAATAATTCAATTATTATTGATTATGTGCAGTCATCAATGAGTAACTAATGAATCTATAATAATCGAAAATATTCTCCATTACATACATAGTAAATTCTTAAATTGTGCGTTAAAAAGTTAAAATATTTTTGTTAAAACTTTAGGTTCGAATACCTATATATACCAATTTTCATGGCGATCAGTATAGAAGTTGATATGCTGCAGCGCCATCTAGTGGCGAGTTACAACAAAGTGGATAAAAAACCTCCGTTATCTAATAAATTCTTTTTCTTCTCTATGTGTCCTTTGGAAATGTTTTCAACAATTCTGTCTTTTTTCAACCTTTTCTTATCCGCATTTCTTATTATCGGCAATTTTTTTATTCGCACCTCTACACGTTTTGACTTTAACTTTTTTATTTTATAAATACATAAAGACTAAAAGGTGGACTCAAATCGAACACTTATAATTACAGTATACGCTTAGTAAAACACAACCATAAGGAAAATGGCTGCTAAAATAATACACTAAAAATAAAATAAAATTTGAATAAAAGCAAAACAGATAAAACAAAACAAGAGAAAATATAGGAAACAATAGGATCGAACACTCGCATAAAAATAAACACACAGCAAATGTAATGCGTGAAAGAAATAATGCAAAATTCCATTGTACACATAAATTTCAAGGCCTGAGGATTGTGTCAAAAATATATTTTCTTAAACTTTTTTAATAAAGGGAAAATTAGGTTTAGTTCAAGTTCATGTTCAAAGAAAAGTTGCAGATGAATTGAAACTGTTAAATTTTGAATTTTTTCAAGATCTTACGATTTTATTTGAAGCTTGGTTTCTTCTGAAGAAAGGATGTGCCAAAAAAAAACTAATTTAAAAAGAAGCAACATTCTGAGAGCCAAATCAGACAACAAATCAACAAGATCAAAAAATTCTGAAACTAATTCACTAACTTGAAATAAAAGTCAAGATCTCGAGAAAACCTTCAAAAAAGGGTCATGTGAAAAATTAAATGTCTAAACAAAAGTGTTCCCATTCGTCCTAATATTGTAGAAGAAGTGATATCTGTCATGTTCTAGAATTTTAAAGACAATTTGCTCATACTAAAAAATTCAACCATCACTAAAATACTTTTTTATCTCATGAAATAAATGTCTTATTTTAATTTCCAAGGCTTGAGTCCTTCCAGTGATCAGATTTTTTTCTCAAATAAAGAACTCAAAATATCTCAAAAAACTAGACGCAGAACAGAGGAAAACAAAAATAAGAATTCACAGTACTGAACACTTGACAAGAAAAATAAGTTCACATAAAATATAATGGGTGAAAAAATAAGATGAAAGTTCATATAGCTAAATTCTAAAACCTGAAGATTGTGTACAAAATATTGCTTTCTAAGTTTTTTCTATGAAGGAAAGAGTGAGTTAGCTTTTTTAACAACATCTCTAGGAGTTATGAAAGAAAGTTAACATTAAACTGAGACGATATTAAAAGAAAAACTTACAGATGACTTGGAACTGCTACCTATTTATTCAAAATCTTATAATTTTTTTGAACACCTTAAGGTTCTACTGATGAAAAATCTAAGCAAGATTAAAACCAAATCAGAATCAGCAGATTAAAAATTTAAAGTCAAGATTTTTTAAAACAGAATTAGAATCGCCTGAGAAAAATCAAAACCTTGAGAAAAAAAAAAAAACGTGTAAAATTAAACGGAAAATGAAAGAATGTTGCCACTAGAATAAAACCACAGCAAAATTATAGCTATTAATAACACCAATTTTACAAATTCCACCTAAAATCGTCGCTGCTTTTTTTTAAGAGATGCTTATTATTTCTTTCCTTGTCTTCACTTTTTCTCCAAGGTTTTGGTCCTTTTCCTAAAGGTAGTTAGAATTCCTCTCAAATATAAATGCATGATCTTGAAAAAACATCTCAAAGAATTATACACAGTGCAAAGGAATGACGAAATAAGAAAAACAAGAGAAACAAACACCGGAAAAAAATATTGGGAGTTCTGCAGGACAAAGAAGGATAGCGTGGGAATACAAAACAAAAAGACATCTTAAGAATAAATATCAATTTTAACAGATAATCAAAATTTGTACCTTTCTGTAATTCCATCTTGTGGGAAATCAATTCGAAATTCAATTTTGAAGACATGAACAGTCAACTAAAAATTAGAATTTAGAATACTGTCTAAAATGTCTTTTCCGAGTAAGGCCCATTAAAATTGAATTTATGTCCCTTTTCCCGTGTCAACAAAGGTGTTAAAGTGCATGCTAACGCGGTATGAAGTTTAACAAGTATACACAGTACTCACTTCTTTATCTTTGGCAGCAATTTCATTTTCGAAAGTCTGTCTGTCCATATTGCTTCCCTCTTTGTTCTCACAGTTATTCGTTGTATTGTTAGCTATCTGTTCCTTCAGCGTCGTGACTTCTTTTTCCGCCAGCGTGGCCCTCTGCAACCAAAAATACCATGAGAGCGAGATATTTAGAATGCCGATCCGAGCACGATGAAAAAAAAATTAATAACCGAAACACATGTTGCAAATAGAATTCGATTTGTGTCTTTTTTTTGTCGCCCACATCTGGCGTCTTGAGACAGGAAGCCGTCGTGCGACGCTAAAAAACGATCGAGAAAATTCACATCCGATTCGAAATTCTCGTTAATTCGATTAGCGAACGTCGGAACGTCGGAATCAGAAAATCTAATAATAAACTATCTCAAGTTGCAATTAATGAAGTAATACTGGGAATATTTCAATATAAATTCCACTCGATTATTTGTCACGGTTCGAAAATTATTCAAGATTTTGATTAAGCCGAATCCTTTTCGTAATTCGATTTCCATCGCCGGGAAAAAAGGAATACAAACACTCGAGGGAGTAGAAATAAAGATTACGTCAAAACCGTCAATAAAGGGGAGGGAAGAGAGAGATAACCAATACAGTCACTTAGTTAATTAGAAGATGTAATTACTAATAAAGTTATCGGTTTCTTTAAGCGGATTGCCTTTCAAAAAGTTTTCAGTAATTAAACAGCGCGAGAAGAGACTCTCGCTATTTATTTTTTCTCGTCGTTAAAAATAAGGGATTACTTTGTAATACCGCAAAGGCGAAAAAACTTTCAATGTCCAATCAGACGTACTTATCTTGATTTTCTGATAAGCTGATTGGCAATCGTAATTTTTTTCGAAAATTTCGCCGGACTTTAGATGGATTTACAACTCATTCGAGATGGAAACTTCCAAATAACCTGATCTCAAGAATTTCTAATATTTTTTGGCTTTGGATATATAAAAATCTGTTCTTATTAAAAATTCTGCCATCTGATCTATTTCCACTTTGACTCCTATAATCCAAATTTCAGAAATATGGATATGTCTTGATTCTCAACCATTTCTGAAAACTCTCTTAATTTAATGATCTAAAAATCAACAAATGTGACACTCAAAAAATGTAAAACATAAAAGTTGCGGGAAAAAAACAAAATAATTTTTTATCCACATTTGAAAATTTGCATAGTATGTACTGATTGACGATTATCTATTTTTCTCATTAAAAATTGTCTCTTGTGTTACATTGACACTGCGAAATTATATTGACAGTGTACAACACTTATGATCTTATGAATCATAAACAAGTTTACGATAATTTCGTAGAAACAAAATATAATGCGCTATTTATTATTTCTAGTCGTTAAAATAATGCTCGCAGGGTTAAAAAACTTGGTGATTTTAATTGAAGAAAATCGATTGGCAGTCGTAAATTTTTGTAAAAATTGCGCTGGGACTTTAATTGGATTTATAATACACAACGTTTGTCATTCGAGCCGGAATATTCTAAACATTCTAATGTTAGAATTCTGAGCATTCCACGCACTTGTCGATCTTTTTTTATTCATTTTTTGACGTACAGTCGGCACATTAATTAAAGTACGTTCAATTATTTTTGAAAAATAAATATTCATAATTGATCGTATCGGATGAATTTTAAAATTAATTTCATTTGACGATATTTAAAAGCGTGGCCTGGATGAAGTCTCCAAAGAGAGTACTAACACTAAATTAAATTTATCAAATGGGCTTGACGTGTTGGTTTGTTTTTTGTTAATTTTGGGAAAATATCGGACATTCCGGGAATATTTCTTTTGATAATGGAAAGTACTAATTAATAGTTAATATTATGATTGTAATAATGTGGCTATTTATTATAGTCATAACTGTTATTGCGTTGATAAATTGTTGAGATTTTCTGTATAAAACTGTGATTTTTTAAATAGCAGGCATTCTTTGACTGATTTAATGATTTGATTTAATGGCTACCGTCTATCACTTTTTTTCTACGAGTACAGTGGAGATTTAAAAAAACGGGACGGTAGCTATGATTTCGCGATAAAATACTGTAAGGACAAAGGCTCAAATCAAATTTAAATACAAGTTACTACTTAAGAAAGCGCCGTTAAACAATGCCAAAACATGTATACGTAAACATCAAACAATAATAAGTACTGTTTAAATCCGGCTTTCTTAATAATATTTTCCTGAACAAAGTTTGAAAAGTGCTTATATGTTTTCACTGATTTCGTAATAGTTATACACTTTTTGGTGTTTTCAAATATATTTGGTCAACAGTGTAGCAGAAACGTCAGAAATGTACAAGGTGTACAATAAAAAGCAAACAAAATTTTAACTGTTGGGAATGTTGTGGTATTGAGAATTATTTTTATTTAATATTTTCATAATCACTGGCGTGATTTTATCACGATTTATAGGCACGCTAATTTCAAATAAAAAGGCCTCTCATAAATTAAGTGAGACACAGTTTTAGAAGGAGAAACAAAATCTATTAGTCGTCTCAGAAAACTGGCATGATAGGCGATAGTAGCTGCAGTAATTGATGATGATTTTTTTCGGTTTTTAGACTATTAGTATTATTGTACAGTGTAGAGAAAAAAATCCCTGCTTTGTATACTTAGATGCTGGTGCACAAAAAATTACATTTCTATTATGACTTTTTTTTTCTTTATGATTTCTTGAAATTTTGTACTATTTTTCTTGTGCTCTATTATTGTATATTGTTTTCTATCCTCAAATTTAGCTACAATTTCTTTATTTCTGGTTCGTCGTCTGCATTAAGTTCTTTCGTATGCAATATAGAGATGTTGCAATCATTAAGTCCGTTCCGTTAAGTGAATCCGCGATTACAACTGTAGTGTTTTTTCTCCCTCATCCTAATCATCCAATTGCACGCCAAATTGTTCTTTAAACATTGCATGCATAAAAGCCTTAACAGATTCATAATGCATATGTGCATTTAATAGCCGCACAACCGCCCAACGCATTACTGAACATACTCTCCTCATCCCGCCTCCCACAGCCAAACCGGTCGATCACTTTAACGCCTCTAATACCTGTTAGTAATAATTTACTCTTGAATAATTATCAATTACTGGCGATTTTCAAACGCTGGTCCATTTTCAGCGATAAATCAGCCGCGACGCGTTTCTTTCTCCAGTTGGCAGCCCTGCAAGAATCTTATATCTAATCGTTCACACATCCTCTTCCGCTTCATTTAATGTCCATTAAACTCGCCTAATAACAATAAAAAACGTCGCCGGATCAAATGACAATCAGCGCTACCAACACGCAAAAAAAAACAAACTCCCACGTAGGTACTCCCTTTGTTTTCTTACCATCCATTCAAATTGGTTCTTAGCGCGAAAACGCTTTGTCGCAGCTTCCGGCCGAGATTTTTGAATAATTTGATGGGTGACGTGTGACACGAGGGTTGAGGGTGACTCCAACAGGCTCGAAACACCTGTTCGCCAACAAAAACGCGGTTGGGTAATTTTTGCGCGGCAACTTATCGACAATTGGTGTGGTGTCGGATCTAACGATGAATTATGGGCGGATATTAGGAGTGCCGGTTGTGTTACTTTCCAGACGTGAGGCCCATTGAGCCGGATTGAGTGCTGTCGACTGTTCGTTGCGGAAAACGTATGTATGTGGAAAAGGAGCGGCCTCTTGATGGTGCCTTGCGGTCCACCCCCTATATATAGATCGCGGTATGAATTATGCGGACTAGTGTACCCGTGATGTTCATAATTAATATTCTCGAAGTTTTGGCAGTGGTCTGGCTTGGTTGAAAAATGTCTGTCGTGGTGTATAAAGAACCGAAGACAAAAACAGTTTATTGCCGAATAAAATCCATAAAAATTATCTATGTTATGGGCAATGACATTTTGACTGAAATTTGTGTTTGTGTAGGATATGGTGACTCACTAGAAATAATAAAATATGTTTCCGATACATTTTAATTTTGCGTATTTATATATTTTAAACGATAGCTATAAAACAGTAGATATCTTTATTGCCTAGTAAATATTGCCTGTTTTGTGCTTTTATGTTGCATGGTCGATTTTAAAGTTTAGAAATGTAAAAAATCAGGTTAACAAATGTGTAACATAACCTTTCGAGTGATTAATTTTGTTTTGTGGTTGGTGTCTAATAAAAACAAAAATAATTTTTAAAAGATCATTTTATACAAAAAAAATGTGAGTCATGATACTAATTTATTTCAACCCAATATGAACATTGTTAACTGTTATTTATTTTATTAGTATTTTATGTTATTAGTGACGAAAGCACAGGCACACAGACACATATTAGGCTGGAGTGATCAGCTTTACATTTTTTCGTTCTTTTAAAAGTTTGGAGCAACATATTCGTTTTGTAGATACTAATACTAGACAGACAACGTAACCTTTCTCTCATTTAACTTACCTTGCATCTTTATTTACAAAAAAATAACAATAATAATGAAAAAAGTTGGCAATGTTGGTATGTTTTTCAAAATTTCAAAAATTCCACGATATATACATTTTGAGATTTGTATACAACTTTTAAATTTCGACGACTTACAAGTCAACTTTTAAGGTATCCTTACTGTTGATTTCAACTACTTTTATCCTTTTTAGATCATTTCCAAAATTATCAAAAATTTGAAAATTTTCGAGTGAGTCTCCAAAATACATTAGTAAAATTATAAAACGTATACAATAATTTAGGTTCAGTTTTAAAATGAGCAGGAAATGAGCTTAAAACTGTCAGACTGGCTTTGATAATTTTTGAATCAAGTTCAAAACCGAACAACTTTCACCCTTCGTAGTAGAATCTACGCACTTTCCGTTTGAAGGTCGCCGAAGCAAGCACACAAAAAATCCATGTAGAGGGTTCGATTGAAATCAGATACCCTTATGCGCGGTCAATATGCAAAATAACTGAACGATATAAATCTACCCATATATGAGTAAGTTAGGGGTGCGTTAGCGAAACCCACCCTTATAACAAAGACAAAACAGGCTTCTTAACGGTCGTATTGTTTGAATTTTTGATCAGAATTTATGGTTTCCACGTCACGATATAAATCCACGTTGTAATATTTTTAAATATACTCCG